GTTTCAACTTTTAATTGATTTTTTTCTAAAATAAATACTAATCACAAGACAGCTCAACTGAAGACCAGTCTTAAATTATTTTCTCATGTTCAGGGAATCAAAATCTTTCACTCTCTACACAGAATGGAAACACAGAAACAATTATAACTGTTTCTGAACATTTCTTAAACTTCAGTGACTGACTGCTAGACAAATAACATTCCTACACATAGTCAGCCCCCTTACAGGGCTAACCTGAAGAAAAGTAACATATACTGCCAAGGAGCTGGGGGTTACAGGAACTAGAAGGAAAAAAAATAAGCAGTGAGACAGTAAATCAGCTCACCAACGTCAATATTGGCATTGTGTGTTATTAAGTTTGCTTTTTCCTTTTCCTTTAATTGTTTTGCATTTCACATGGTGGGTGGTCTTATATGCATTTATCTGACATGGCTTCAGATAAGCCTTGGGATACCTTGGTAACAATAAAGCATCCCTCACAGAAGAATAAGGGAAAGCTGCAAACTAGGACACCGGTGCACTGTAAACAATAACCATGTCACCGAACTGTTCTGCAATGCCTCCAAAGAGTGTGAGAATGAGGCTCATTTCAGCTACATCAGCCTACTGGCGAGCTGGCAATACAGCTGTCAGCAAAGTGGTACTGAAAACAAAGGCTTCCTGGCAGGAGAAAAGACAACTGTACACTTCAACTCCAAAATTTCACGTGGCACTTGTCAAAATGTATTTAAAATCGAAAACTAATATACATACATAATATACAAAGTCTACCCTCTTTTACTTTGAAGTCATTCCCCCTTGTCTGATCACTACACCCCCTGACAGAGTCACTTCTCAGCCTTCCTGCAGGCCCCCTTTAGGTACTGGAAAGGCCGCTGTAAGGTCACCCGAAGCCTTCTCTTCTCCAGGCTCAACAACCCCAATGCCCTCAGCCTGTCTTTGCAGGAGAGGTGCTCCAGCCCTCTAAGCAACTTTGTGGCCCTCCTCTGGGCAGTCTCTAACAAGTCCATGTTGAGCTTCTCATCCACCAACACCCCCAGGGCCTTCTCCCCAGGCCTGCTCTCAATCCATTCTCCACCCAGCCTGGGTTTGTGCTTGGGATTGCCCCGGCCCAGCTGCAGGACCTTGTCCTTGGCCTTGTTGAACCTCATGAGGTAGCACAGGCCCACCTCTCAGGCCTGCCCAGGTCCCTCTGGATGGCATCCCTTCCCTCCTGCGTGTTGGCTACACCACACAGCTTGGTGTCATCAGCAAACTTGGAGAAGTCTGAATAAGCTTTTAACTATGGAACTTGCATCAGTGTTTCTTCTGCAAATTATGTATGTCTACCAAGTTATTTACACAGAGAAATTGCTTCATGAAAGACAGCACAAAAAGCTAATTTGTGTAACAACATCACACCAGAAGGCTACATTAAAATGAAAAATATAGCCACCCCGTTCCAAACAGCAGTCAGTACAATGCTGTATTACCGTGTATCAGGATTATTTAATTGCGTTGTTACAGATGTCCTTCCAGCTCCCAACTGCCCAGAAATCAAATGTAGTTTTGAACTCAGTTTGTAAGCATAGTTAAAAATAAAAATTAAGATGCGGACCCTTTTGGTGACAGCTAAAGCTAAATACAATACTGCCCTACATATTGGTTTACAGCCTCTGACATTCAAGGCCTGTATTGCCACTTCTAGTAAAGGATGAAGTATTTCGAATGAATGCTAACACTGTAATGGCACTGCTGATTCTTTCCACTTAACAGAAAAGCACATAGCTACATAAATACAGTGGATCTTAAAAGTGCCCCAAGGACAACACACATTTTAAAAAATGGGGTCTGCTCTGAGAATGACCAAGTTGGAATTTAAGCTGGGGACAGCACAATATTTATCCCGTATTTTCCACTATGAACAGATGAATATGTGCAGCTCAGTGAGACAAGGCAATATTTCAGCTTTGATAGGGAAAGAGGAAGAACGAGGAGGCGAAAGGCTTTTTTTTTTTCTGTGAAAATATCATCACTGGGCCCCTCTCTTTCAAGAAGCCAGTGTTCTCAAATCCCTGGGAGGAAAGGGAAGCCATCCACCATCACCCTGGGTATCTGCATGAAATGGAGAAACCAGAATACACTCCTGGTGCAGACATGAAGGAATCAGACAGTCCCTTTTGTCCAGAGACCTCTCCTCTGGCAGTGCTCCTGCATGATTCCCAAACGCTGCAGTGCACTGGAACAAGAACTGCCTGTCTTGCAAATGTGCCCCATCCCTTCCTGAGGGCCGTACGGTAGAGCCTTGGCAAAAGTCCTCCCATCAGCCATGTGGGGATGCCTGCAGTACATGTTGGTAATCTCATCACTCCAACTTGATTAGGTCACCTTCCCTCTGAATTTGTATTGTGGTTAGAGGCGTTTTTATTTACAGTAATATGAGAAAATCAGGAGGAAAAATCAGTACACACACATCCTGAGTAGGCACTAAAATAGCCAAAGGCTATTTTTGTGGAAATCTAAGGAGAATCCCCATGTTTTCTTGCTTTCTTGCTTTAGGGTACGTCAGGTAGAAAAAACACATTACAGCTGTATCACCCTTCAGGCACAGAAAGCAATTAAGCAACTATCCAAGCCCTTAAAATTATTAGTAGGATTTGTCCTTCCATTTGTATCTGGAAAGATAAATTTGTTTCAAAAATAAGGATCCTTATTCTATCTTTGCCTCTACTCATTTTTTTTTTAAATCTCTTTTTCAAATCCAGTATCACAGGTTCGTCCATAGCTAGACCCCCAGAAAAACGTCCTTACCAATATGTCTAAATGACATTTTGGTGTATACCAAGCTTTACTGTTAAAAACACTAGTCAGAAGATAAATCTAATGGAAAAAAATCCATCTCTAGTTTTTCTATTCTATTTGTAAAGTAGCACTGCTGATTCCTTTGCAAATGATTGTTCGGAATCGTATATAACTGAATGGATTAAAAGCTATTTATGTAAAAAGCTATACTTTGCAAACTTTAGTGGCTCCTTTAGCTTCACTACATTTATGAGCCATATTATCAGTATAGATTGATAAGAAAAAATTTGGTATAAGTACAACTGAAATATGATAAGCAGCTTGTGCAATCATTCTAGGTTGCTTCAGAACAAGGGTTGGAAATACAGGTGACCTTCTAGATTAAGATACCTTTCCTGGTTTTAAATACAAGATTTCTCCAAGAAGTACATGTGGAATGGTCTGTAAAATAACAAAATCTAGAAAACAACACTGATCTTCTGCACCTGCTGAGTCAAAAAAAAATTACTCCTTAAGCACGTTTAATATATAAAGGTACCATTATATAATGGTACCAGTATATAAAGGATACCATTTTGATATAAGATTCTTGCATTTAAAATATAAGTATTTACATGGGATTTTCATAGGTATTAATCTTTTAAATAATATAAATGACAACTGTAATACTGTAGAAATTGCTCAAAACCCAAAATAAATAATCAGAAACATGTATTATGGATAAAGATACTGAAGTGGAACTTGTCAGGCGCCTATGGGCTAGTGATGAGAATTCATTCCATTCAGCATGGAAACAGCTTGACACAAAGTAACTGCAAGTTTGATCTTCAAACAAAGTTTCTCATAATTATCACAAAATCATTGCTCACGCATTATGAGCTCAATGTGAAGTTCTGTCAAAACCAGCTACTCCCTGGATGCATATGGGTAGTTAGCTGCACTAAATAAGAGTTTTTACATATTTTTAGCATGTTTGTTAGATTAATCATCAAGTACCAAATGTAGTGTTAGAGTTATCATGGTTAAAAATAAAAAGAAATATGAAAATGCCAAGTACTAACTTGGTATTAAAATAGATATAGATACAGATGTTACAGTGAGACAAAGGAGGCAAAGGACCCCAAACATAAGCAGTAGACAAATGCAATTGAGAAATTTACCAAATAAGACTTGTAAGGATATCACCTTTTATGACAGATTAGCAGTAGAAGTGATGAAAGACTCCTCATTTCATGTTTTCATATCACATTCTAAAAAAGACACTTAATTAAACACTTATTAGACTCGTGTCCATATGAGTAGCAAGCAATTCTTAACCCTCTGTTTGAGGTCTGAAGAGATGGTCTAAGTGTACTTTCTGGCACTAAAGTCTATGAAACTAACTAAACACTGCTACATAGTGAACAGATGTAAAGACATTCGCATTTAAAGATGTTATATCTCTTTACAGGATATTACAAGTCATTCCCATATTTACTAAACTAAGTTAAAATTTCTTATGGTGCTTTTAGTCCTTTTAAATTTCCTTTTTTTATATATAAATTATTTTTATTTAGTTAACTTTGACAACAAAACAAGTATTTAAGTGCCTTCTGGTTAAATACATAATTTAAAATTGTAACCAGAAGCTACTGAAATGTCAAGAAACAGAACTAAAAACAGACAGTTTTTCTTTCATACCAATTCTTTCACTTGACAGCTGAGCAAGGAAATATTGAGGAAATATTACTGTCTACTAGACAGTTGTCTACTGACAACTAGAGGTCAGTAACATAAGGAGTTTCATCTGGATAAACAGTAACACAAAATAAATGACTGAAGGATGAGCATTCCTCAGTGCTGGAGAACTGGAAGCTAGTATTGGAATGAGTAGTTAAGTAGAAGGGCAGTAAGAAGCATAGAACTCAGAATCAATGGAGGGCATCAATTAAGTGAAATTCAATGTTTTGCTTTTCTGAACAGACAGAAGTGCTATTGACATTAACCCATGCTTTGAGTGGGGGTTCATTTTAGTGCTATAAATTGACATAATATAAAGTGCTTGGCTTTTTAAGGGCAGGAAGACTGAAAACTTTAAATGTTTCTAAATGTAATGATCACTGAAGACACTCTCTCTTCTTATGATTCTCAGATGACACTAAAACAAAAAGTTTATGAAAAATAACAGACAAACATACCTGCATATCCAAAATATAGTGGAGGTTTAAAAAAGCACTTACTTGGTATGTGTCCCATAATCTGATGGTACACCGTAAAGGGACTTCTCTCATCAGCAAATTATTCATCCATCGGAAAGCAAATTGCAAGTATTTCACCTCATGCTGATCCAAGTGTACATGAACTTGTTCTGAAGACAGAATAAAAAGACATTTTACTGATTTTTTTGGAAGTCCTTAGCTATCAAATGAACAGTCTGAAAAATAAAATACTTTGATCCCAGGCAGATAAAATGTAGTGTTCCATGAAAACTCTTATAACTAACTGGAAATCCAAATAGAAACAACAGAAACAACTAGTCAAACAGTACATTGGGTTATATTTTCTACCTCTGGATGGCTTAAACATCTGCTCTCAACTTAAAAAAAAAAAAAAAAAAGAAAGAAAGGCAAGGTCACGATTTCACAGTATACAACAAATAATATACTAAATTATAAAATGAAATGATTATGTACATATATCAGCAATAACTTCCTAACCTATAAATTATTTGGGACAGGACTGCAAGCAACAAGGTTTGCAAATAACATAATGGATTCCAAAAATAAAGCATTGGCAATAAAAAAGAAGACAATAATAACACGGCAAAAAAGTACAGAGTATATATAAAGGCTACATTTACTCAAAGCAAAAAGAAAAGTGAGATTAATGCAATACAAAATGGTGAGCAAATTTAAATAATTACTGCTTAAACAATTTCTTAGTATCGCAAATAAATACAAATAAAAAGCAGTACAAATCAATGGTTTCTAAAGCACTACTCACTACTCATTTATTATGGCATGTTTTCTATCTGAAAGCTGCGATAATCACTTGCATGGGTTATTTCTATCCTTAATAGAACTAATCTACTAGTGAGGTTTTTATATATTTAGCAGAATTTACCCCCAAAAGGATCACATACATTCTGTTAATTAGTTTTAGCTCAGGCTCAGGTATTAAAATAACACATCGCAAACTACAACTACTTCAGAAATGCTGATGTCTTATTTTGGATAAATGAATGACAACGAGTCTTTGTTAAGGCCCGAGTAAGACATCCCTGCTATATTTCTTTATACAATCACATTCTGGGGAGATTTTGCTACCCACATCATCCTCCACCCACATTTAGGGGTGTACTAGCAGCTAGGAGAACGAGCACTAAAAGCTAAATGAACAACAACAATACCAAAAGTATAGTAGCACCGTTACAAGACATTACATAAAGACAAAAGTAGCAGAAGTTCAATTACACTTTATAGCAGCTGGTTAAGGACTTTTTGAAAACTTCTGAAAAATATTTTAACCTTTCTGACCAAAAAGACCAGTTGTCCATCTATGTAACCCAACGTGCTTCCTGGGGCCTCTGTGTTGAAGTAAGCACAGCAAAGAATAACAGAGGACTTAGAACACACAGCAGAAACCCAAAGAATATATTTCATCCAAGCCAGCTGTAATTAAATTTGAGCACATTTGTACGTGATTTTAGGTGATCCCAGTAATGCCAGTTTAGTAAAATACTATTTTTAGTTATTTAAAATTCTCCCAGAGCTTAAAGGCTTAGGCTGAAGTTATTCAAATTAGATTTAGTGGGTGTATGAAAGTTTTGGTTAATATATATTTTGGTCAATATATTTTCAATTGACTCTGTCAATTGAAAGCTGTTTCAATATGGAAGAAGTAAAAGTTTTTCAGATCTTGAAAGCAACCAACAGGGAGTTTGACCACAAGTAAGAATGGTCACAACATGTTATACTAAAGGTTTACCTAGCACAACATCCTGTTTCTAACAGTGTCTAAAAACAAATAACCATGGAAATGTATAAGGTACTGGTACTTCTCCAAAGCACTTTCTTAATCTCTACCTATCCATAGATAAAGTATCTACATTTTTAAAGTCATAACCTTCTGTATAGACAAATATAATAAATTGTTTATGAACATCTAAAAAACTTCTGTTAATGATTCTGAGATTTTTTTTTTTTAACTTGTAGCTATATATAAAGATGTGTGAATTTTCAAGTGTTTCATTTCATTTCTAATTATAACACTAACTAGGTAATTAGATACTGCTGATGTACAATAGACTGAACTACAGGATGTGAAAATATAGAGGATGAGAATGGAGAGGTAATGAGCTTCTGTACTTTTAATTGATCTTACAAATCCCCTCCTCCAGCCATTCCTGTGTACAGGAAAGTCCTACTGCATTACTATTCTGTATTGTGCCTATATGCTGTCAATATTTTTAAAATTACATGAGAACTTTGTGATGGATGTTCCACTACCCATAATAGCCTCTGCCTTCCAATCTCAAGAACCTGTGACTAATCTTCTTCCTTCCTCTACAGAACTAATATCCTCCCATCACTTTTGAACCCTTCTTTCCTGAGCTTTCTGCAAAACTCATCAACTATCCCATCTGGGAAAGAGACAACGGCCAATATTAAGCCAATATTAAGGCTAGTTCCAAGGTCTGCATAACATGACTAGCCTGTGCAAGTGCAATGAGTACCTAGTTGGCATGCAGTAAGCTATCTGCTGAGCTTGTTTTGAAGTCCTTCTTCAGTAGTATTGCTATTTTGTGTTACTTTTTTTTTTTTTTTTTTAATGAACAAATGAATTTTATACAAGCTGTGGAATTCTGCATGGTGGAGTCTTCAGTCCTTCTGTAAAATGCTGATGAAGGAAGTCCTCAGTTATTGACAAGTTATTGGAAGGACAAGACAGCCACAATAATCACATGTGGTACTACCTTAGAGAAACAGACTTAAGAATGAAATAAGGCTGTTAATATTTACAAGGCCACATTTTGAAAACAGTATAAAGCCCAGAAGCCTTTCTATTTCCATTTTCTACGCAGCTAGAGGCCTTGCATGCCTTGGAGGCACTAACACTAATTGAGGCCCAGGACAGAATGACTACCTGCTTTTGCTCTAGGCAAATTTAGCTGCAAGTCATATATACTGAAATGAGATACTATGTTAAATTTATTTCCAAAATGTCACATTTAGATACCTAGTATTGCAGAGTACTATATTTAGATAATCCATTACCTCAAGCAGGATACAAAAAAGTCAGTTTTAATTTTAGCTGATGTACTAACTTACAAACACTACTTAACATTTTTGTTCATCCCATAGTAGCAGTGTATTTCATTTAATTGCTCACAGCCACTGAAAGTAAGAAATAAAGAACAATAAATTGTGCCAATTTTTATATTTCAGCCAGTGTTTAATAACCATAATGAATTTCTTGAAAGTCGTTTTCTAATCTGAACAAGCTGAAAAATAGACTACTAAACGCCAAGCATTAAATACAATTGATGCAAGACTGGAACAGAAAATGCAATGACTGAAAAGGCTCATTCTTCCTGACTTGTAAGTAATTGTTGTGAGTAGGGGCTATTTCACTCATAAAGGTAATTAGGACAGTGAAAATCTAAATTTACACTTTTCATTCCACTCAAAATTACCATGTGTGCAACAAACAAGCAAGTGATGCAATTACCATCAACTTTCACACTTCAAGCATATTATAAAACCACACTTAGTGCAGTTGCAGTAAAATTATGTTAGTTATGAAAAATACATTTCAAAATATATATTAAAATTCAAAAGAAACAATTATATTTAATAAGATTCCCAATATTTACAATAAAGCTATACATAGAAAAAGTTTGGTGAAACAAGTCTTCCAATTAAAAAATAAGTACAGTATACAGATGTATTCTTAAGTAGCATACCTCCAAAATCATGTATTTAGTGTACTACAAAATAAGCATTTATCATTACTTACAATTTTAATAGGCACACTTATTGGATTATATTAGTTTGATCGCATTTAGCCACCTTAAACAGATTCTGCACTAATTATAGTCTTTTCAGCATGCGTCTCCAAATCATCCTAATTTGAGTTTCTGGAATGATTTTATCTATCATACCCCTTGAACCCTAAAGTTAAAAACTTTGTCGCACCTATTCATTACTAGATTATATCAGTAAAGGCTTTAAACTTTTAAAAGACCAAACCCCTACAGTTGTATGTATGCATCAAGATTTTCTGAAATTAACTAAATATGAGTACTGAAAGTAGCAGTGTACAGACACAGCTGAAATTTTCAAAAAGAACCTACACATATAATTGTTTAGTGTCACCTTTTCATGCTGTTTCACTGATTTCAGATTTAAAGTTGTATGTGACTGCAGTATCACAAACTAAAGCCACAGTTAAGGACAAAACTTGTACTATGGCATGACTTAAGTGTTGTTCTGTCTAAGGGATACTGCCAGAATAAGGGCCTAGGAAAGTTTACTCATAAGGAAAAAGGAATCACAAAATAACAGTAAAATAATGTGTGAATAGCCACATTACCGTAGCACAGCATGGAACCACTGCATCCATCTGTGCAATTTATTACTTCAGGTAATTAGCCTTATATTGTTGACCTTTAGTTAACGATTCCTATCAACCCTATCAATCTTTTCTGATGCTTGACTATAAACCTAATTTTCCCTTTTTTGAAAATTAAAGTTTATTTTTATTTATAGTTCATACTTCATTCTTAATTCCATTTTATCACCATTTCATACGTATTTCTGTTGTAAACATAAAAAGCACTAAGTGTTAAAACACCATCAGAAATGCAATTAAGCTATATCTGATAAATAAACAGGCCTTTTAGTACAAGCAAAGGAAGAAAAACACATTTGTCTTCATCAGGATCCACACGATTCCTATTGAAGGAAGTAGACTAGCTACAGGAGTAACTCCTCTGGTACCAATCCAAAACGAACAGAAAAATAGTGGCAGGGGTTCTGCTGGCACTGTCCTTTATACATAGAGTAATGCCTATGTATTGCTCCTTGACATATTAAAACAAGCCACAGAAATATGCTAATGCTCCCAATTTCAAATGACTCTAGAAGGATTTTCTTCTTTCTGGACCATGACAATAAATCTGGGTATTGCAATCTAATAATTCAGAGACTAATGTAACAGAAGACAAACCAAAAGAAGTGAACTATGTATGAATCACTGACACATTTCAGAAAATAATTTACTCCACATCCACAATGGATGAGAACCTCCACTGTCAAATTCCTTGGTTTTGCATTAGTCACTTTGATATTTTAAAAACAACTGGCA